AAACAAAAGGCCAGAGCTGAAACCTGAAGAACCTTTATTTTATCATAATGGCCTTCATCTGAAAAGGGGGCTGTTTAGCTCTTCAATTACATGATATTAACCCACCATACTTACTGCTTCATTTATAAAACACCTTGGATGCTAAATGATTTTTCTACAAATGCTCAGCATCACCAATCTATCCAAAAAATGGACACAGAGATTATTACATCATCATGGAAAATTTTCCCATTCCCTTTGATAGCCCAGCTGGATTAAGTTCTTAGAGACCCAGGGCCTTGAAAAGATGACAGGGCTCTTGCTTTTATGTAAACAAGTAAAAACAATCCAAATTATAAAATTCTTGTAGAGAGTCCAGCAAAGGATTTGTATTTCCCATGATGACTATTTCAATTTTTTCAAATATAAATTTTTTTTAAATGGCTTTTGGTTTTTCTTTTTGTGCTGATCAGCTTGTGCCTGTTCTTCCCCCTTGGCTGACCCAATTACACGTTTTCATCACAAATGACAACTTACTATGTAGAGTTGGCTCAATGCCAGGATTTCAGTCCCTTGGGAACAGGCTTACCAGTTAATAAACAGGTTATTATTAAGCATTTGCTAATGCCCAGTACTGTGCTAAGTCCTGCAAGGAACTCCAAGACTTTTAAGTATGAAGGGGGTATTTCATTCAAGGAGTTTATAATCTTAAAATCCCATTAAAAATGAGGCAACAACCAAATGTCAGTTGCTGGGCAATGTAGATCTGGAATTGAGTATCTGGGAGGCACTTTGTAAAGAAGTTGGCCTTGTGAGTTGTATTTTTATTATATTTTATTTTATATTTTGAGTAAATAATATATTCCCAAGGTTCATACTGTTTTCTGCTCTACCCACACTCACCTTATTCAGAGTTGCCTGGTGCAAACATTGGTTCAATTACTGAGCCTTTGGGGATTCTGAAATTTGAAAAATTTCCCCCCCAACCTTTGCAGGCACTTTACTGTAAAGTCAGTTTAACTCACCCTCATGCTGTAGATTCTAAAATTCTGTTGGCATCTGTCTAGTTCTCTTTATCTTTACAGATTAGTGAAGTATTTTTTAATCTCTCAATCATTGTTTAAATAGGTTCAAAAGGAGTGGACATATCCACTTGTGCTGTCCCTTTAACAGAAGTTCCATCATCCTTTTAATAAATTCCCTTTTCTGTTTAAATTAACTGAGAATAATAGTATTAACTGAAATGCTAGAAATAGATCCATAATAATGCACTTTCAAAATCAGAGTTCTGGATAGGGCTGAACCAAGCCCATCAGACATATAACACAAAACACTGAATGCCACCAGAATGCTTGAAAACAAAAGTGACTGAATTAAGTCTTTTTTATTACATAGTTTTATTTTATACTTATTAAAACTTACTTAGATATATTTAAACATGGATTTTTTTCACACTTGTGTATACATAAAAAGGAAAATAAAAGCAGAAGTTGATTAAGGTGTTCCTAAAACTGCTTTTCATTTAGAACCCTGGTCCTCTGAATCACTTTATATACTTATACATGTACGTACTTTTTAATTGTGGTGTAAAAATATATATAAAATTTACCATCTTAGTCATTAAGTGTACTTTCGCATTGTTTTGCAACAGCTCTGAGAACTTTTTCATCTAGCAAGACTGAAACTTTGTACTCATTAAACAACTCCCCATTTACCCCACCCCACCCAGCCTCTGGCAACCACATTCTACTTTCTGTTTCTATGAATTTGACTACTTTAGATACCTTATATAAATATAATCATACAGTATTTGACCTTTTTGACTGGCTTATTTCACTTAGTATAATGTCCTCAAGGTTCATTCCTGTACATGTTCCAGGACTTCCTTTTGAATGAAATTTTGTGGAGAAAGAACAATGCATTTCCCTTTCACAAGCAACACTCAAAATACGATTCACTCTGAAACTGGATCCAAAATTTTAAGTATATGTTAAGCCCAAACCTAAGGATGGAAAAGAAAGGAAAGGTATTCTTCACTTTTGCAAAAATAAATAATTAAAAACCACTGAAGTGCAAGAGAAATAGCATGTGAAATATTTTATTATTCTAGGTGTTTTATGACAAATAACTTTACCTTCTGATAATACAGTAAATAATGAAAGGAACTGCCCAATTCATGTGAAGTTGAATTGAGTCAGCCATTAGTTTTCCCAAAGGGCTCATGAGTGAATGCTTCTGATGCTGAGAGAAGAGACAAAACCCCAGTTTTTAGCTGCTGTCACCTGGTTATTATGTTGTGATCTTCAAATTTTCCTACATTCAGTTTTCAGAGTTTACCTTCACAAAGTTAAACCCAGTGCAGAGACCAGGGTAAAATAAAAGGTTTGTGTAAGCCAATCTTTTTTTTGTTTTTTTTTGGTTAATCCTCACTGGAGGATATTTTTAGAGACAGTGGAAGGGAGGGAAGGAACAGGAAGGGGAGGTGGGGAGAGACAGAGAGAGAGAGAAGGAGAGGGAGAGAAACATTGATGTGAGAGAAACACATAGATTGGTTGCCTCCTGCACCCCGACCAGCCTGATGGAACCAACTGGTGACCCTTTGGTGCGCTGGCCGACTCTCTAACCACGGAGACACTAGGGCAGGGCTGTGTAAGCCCATCTTAAAGCTTGAATTAGTATGGGAAGCCTGAGCACTTGTTGACGTTTATCTATAAAGAAGAATCTCCCAAACACATTTGGGGAAAAAAAAATTATTTTTCTAAGTGTGAGCATGGTAACCTCCTATACTGAATACAGTACTAAGAAATTTGCTGATACTTTCCCCCCTGTGCACACGTCTGCCTTCCACATGCTTGCTCCTTTCCTGATTCCATTAGCCTGTCTTGTGTCCCTCCCCTTCCTGCCTTCCTAGTTTGCCCACCTTTCTTTTGTTTCCTCCTCTGTTCCCTTGAGTCCTGTGCTGTTTCCTGCCTTCCCTGGCTGCCCCACCCTTCCTTCCCAGCTTGCCCAGCAGAGGACTCTCTGCACCCAGGACTGTGGGGCCTCATACTGGGTGGGGTTTCACTTGGGTAAATTACTACATCCTGGAGCACCATCCAGCAGTGTTTTCTTAAGACTTGGGACTTGGAGTCAGTGCATTTAGGGGTGGGAAGCGAAACCATGTACTAGGATGGCTCTCCAGAGAATGGCTCTGTATAAGTCTCCAAAAGGTGAAATCGAGTGAAGATGACCATGGAGGTAAGTCTTGGATTGGGGCAAAAGGAGAAGGGCCTGTGGGGTGATGGTGGAATCACAGTGGGGCAGCTGGCACTGCAGGTTGTGGCTGGAAAAAGACTAAAGGTATTTTTTTCTCAACTTACCCCCTGAGGCTCTGGTCAGCTGTGGGACTGTGGCCTGGGGAAACGGTCTGGTTCTATTGCTGTGTCTTCCTGGGCAAACCTGGGCTGAGTGGACGCTGACCTAATTTGGAAAGAAAATGTAAAAAGAAAGAGATGCCCATTTGTGACTTCTAAAGTATTACTCCAGGTGTATGGAACATCCATCCCCCAAGTGTGAAGGGTCATTTTTAGGCCCCTGTGTAAAACGTTTCTTAAACCATTCTGGAAAATAATATTACAGAAAGACCCATTTTATAGGAAGGAAGTCATGAACATTGTAATTTGAAGAATATAAGAATATTGGGCCCTCGTCCAAGTACAGAATCTAAATTCTATTAACAGAATCTGAAATTCCATTTACAGTTTTATCCCTTTAGTTTAAGTTTTTAACCTTCCCTTAAAACGTAAGCAAATCCCAGGAGGGATAACAGAGAGACCCTCAGCAATCTTTAGCCTTAAATCACACCGGGTCCTCTGCTTACCTCCATTCCCCCTACATCTCTTGCTCCCCGCAAACCAGAATTCACTCCTGAGCCAACCACTGGGCTCTGCATGCCCGTAAGTGACTGAATGTTCTTTCTGCCTCGGACACTTTGCCCTCTCTTTTCTTTTTAGCTAATTCCCAGTTCTTCAAAACCTAGGCAATGTCACTCACTGCTCAAAGTCTGCACTCCAAAGCAGGCTTAGTCCAACTGTGGGTTCTCTATTTGGGCCTCTCTTCCCTAATGGCCCTTCTCCCAGTGTCATCATTGGCATACAGGTTGATCTTCCCACCGGGTTAAGACACAAGCTGTGTCGTTCGTTCTTCATTGAATCTCTTTTTTTTTTTTTAAATATATCTTTATTGATTTCAGACAGAAGAAAGGAGAGGGGGAGAGAGAGAGAGAGAGAAAGAGAGACAGAAACATCAATGATGAGAGAGTCATTGATCGAGCCCACAACCTGGGCATGTGCCCTGACCGGGAATCGAACCCCAATCGCCTGGATCCTAGGTCCGACGCTCAACCGCTGAGCCACGCCTGGCCGGGCCATTGAATCTCTTGAATCTCAGATTATATCTGGCCCATAGTAGGTTCTCTTTAGGGAATGAATGAATTCTTTACTGCCAAGGTGTGTTTGATGGGTGGTGGTACAGGGCTGGAGGAGAGGAAGGAAAAATACCAAGAGAAAGAATCAGTGTACAAAGGGAGGAGGCTGGGGACACTGAAGGCAAACTCCTCTGGGTGACAGTTTTGTGACGATCCAGATAGCTTAGAGGCATGCTAAACCTTCTTTTACTAATTTTCTTAGAAGCTAACTCTAATTGACTGCCGAACTTAAAAATCTATTGATTTTAAAATAGATTTCAATAAATGCGCTTGCTGAAACGATGTTTAATGACCTGTATGTCACACAATAAAATAGGGCAAAGTTTAAAACTCAAATTTGTCTTCGATTTACATCTGCTACCATCTGTTGGTTCCTAGATCCTGGGTTACATCATTCTTATTTTTATGTTAAACATTACCAGCAATAAAAACAGAAGGAAAGGGGGAAATAAAAGCTCGTAAAGGGAAGTTCTGATTCCACCCAGGCTTAACAGTCTTATTTTCTTCTCAGAAATCCTAGAAAACAGAAAACAACAAGAAGATGTCTTATTGAGAAAGACCTCCTTCACTTGACCATGAGTCAGACAAGGAAGAAAAGTTCCTCAGATGGAGAAACTAAACCCCAGACTTCATTTGTCAACAAATTCCTCAGGGGCTCAAAACTCAGGTCCTCCAAAGCTGGAAGCAGAAAAGAGAGCAATGACCTTAAAACAACTGATTCCCAGCCCAGCGATGAGACACAGACGACTGCCCCAGTAGACACTGGTAAACTCCTGACTGCTGTCCGTTCTTTATTTTTTAGAATAATGTCTTCCCCTAAAGAGATCATTGGATTAAACTAAGCCTAATATGAGTCTCTGTCTAAACACTTATTATATTACTTAAATACTTTAGATACTTGGCTAATTTTACTTTTAAATTGTCAAAAATACTATAATACTACAGAAAGGTATAGAGAAAATACCCGATTTCCTTTCATGTTAACACAAATGATAATTTCTTCATGATTCTTTTTAGTCTTTTGTCATGTGCATGCATTTATGGTCAGTCAGCAGGTCAAAACCATTAACTGAGTTCCTACTATGTGCCTGCAACTCTATTTTGTAAGTGTTCAAAATACAGCGATGAAAAACAAGACCTTATGTAAATGAAGAACCAAATGTAGATACGATTTCAGTGCTGATAAGTGACATAAAAAGTAGAGTAGGTTAAGCAGAGAATGTTGGGGTGGAGAGGCTATTTTAGACAGGGTTGGAGGGAAGGAGCCTCTCACTTGGTGGCCTTGGAGCAGAGATCTGAATAAAGTCAGCTACGTAGAATGAATGAGTAAAGCCAGCCACATAGATATTTGTGGGAATAGCTTTCCAGGCAAAGAGAACTGTAAATGCAAAGGCCCAAGGTGAGACTGAGCCTGGAGTGTTTGAGAGGGAGTCAGGAAGTCCACGATGCTGAGGCAGGGTGAGAGGTAGGGAGAGGGAGAGTAGTAGAGACAAGTCAGTGAGGTAGCTGGGGGCCAGAACAGGCATCTTTTGCCGTTATAAAGGCTTACAAATCCCTCTTGAGTTAAATGAAGCAGTGATCCTACTTCTGGAACATATTATACTGCTCAATTTCTACATTGCTTCATATTGTTCCTATACATAATTTTAACAGTTGCATAATACTCCATTACATGCATATGCCATAGTTACTTAATAAATTTTTTTTATTGCCCTTCAGTGATTATCTTTGGCTTTCCCTCTCTCTTATTCTCTGTTTCATGAAATTTCATGATTTTTTAAAGGGCAAATTCCCAGAACAGAGATTACAAATTTGAGGGTTATGAAAATAAATATTGCCAAATCTCTCTCCAAAGTTGGAATCATATTATTTGGCAATATGATGGCATATACAATGCCATAAATTTATTATCAATTAGGTTAAGTGTATTTTAAAAACATTTTAAGCTTTTTATACAAACATATGCAAAAGTAAAGAGAACAGTATGAGTCCCCATGATCACCTCTCTCTAACAATGATCAGCCCATGGCCAATCTTGTTTTATTTATTCCTACTGTCACTTCCATCAGATTATTTGTATTAAATACCAAAAATAATATCATGTTACTTGTAAGTAGGTTAGATGTATTTCAAACATATTTTTGTAAAGAGAAAGTTGAAGTCTACTGCTAAAGGAAGACAATCTCTACCAGAAAATTGTTAAAGTATGGTTTGGAGCTCCAGGAACATGGTTAATGAATGCCTGAAACCATGATGAAGTCAGCAGTGCAAGACCAGGCAGCTGGTTATCCCTGCTGGTAAACATTGGCTGCTGAAGCCATTCGTGGCTGCTCTATTTCCATTTCTCTCAAAATGCAGTGACTCCTGGAGTCATGTTAATTCTTGGCCCTTGGACCTGGATCTTCCTCTCCATTGCTATTCTGGTTCCCGTCTCTTTCCTGGACCACTGCGACAGCTTCCTATCTGGTTTCTCTGTCTCTAGTCTTGCTCTCTTTCCTCTACACTGCCATCAGATGCTCTTTCTAAGCCACAGATATGATGATATCTCTCACCTGCTTAAAAATTCTTCACTGAGACCTTGTTGCCTGGAAGAAAAAGTCTATGCTCACAAGAATGGTCTTCAAGGTGGTGGTGTTGATCAGTTGGCTATCTGTTCATGACCTCTGCCTTCCCTCAGTCTTATGGTCATGCTCTACTCCTGACATTCTGATTTAGTTGCAGTTTCTTAAACTGGCCATGTTCCCCCAAGTTGGATGTCTAGAAGAAAGACCTTCCCTTGTGTCACCATCCTCCCTCTGCACCCCTCCTCTGTTTTACCCCTTCCTCACACCCACCCACATGGCTGACTCCCATTGGTCCTTTAAGATGCAAATCATGCACTACTTTCTCTTGAAAGTTTGCCAAGACCCACCCACCAGACCAGAGGTACTTCCTGTCACACTCTGCACACCTCCACCATTCCACTTCTCCTCTGTATTGTGACTGTGGCTTTCTTGTCTGTCTACTCCATTAGACAGGTAACTCCTTGAAAATAGAAACTTGTTATCTTGTTACAAACCTAATAATGTTTTATGAAAACATTGGGATTCTTGGTAGTAAACAATAGAAACCAACTCTTGCAGATTTAAGTTGGAAAAGGGCTTAATGAGAAATACTGTTTAGCTCACAGAATCACCTGGATGGAGATGCAAGAGCTCTGTTCTGCAGTAAAGCAGCCTGGAAAAGGTCCTGATCACTCCACAGACTGCTCATGTGTGATCACTTTGTACCCTCCAGTTCCCCACCTCAGCTGACCTGTAACAACTCTGACTCATCAGTTTTATTATTGAGCTGTGATATAAAATATTCTTCAAAGAAAGGATTTCATAGTTAAAAAGAAATACATGGTCTGTGAAGAGATGTCCAGGGGTCTTATAAGTTGGTACTCATATTCATATGCAGGTGTTTTGAGAAAGATTTATCATGTTGATTTATTTTTGTAACTAGAAACTAAGAAACTAATAGTCATTCATTCATTCACTCACTCATTTATTCATTCAATTATTTGTTCATTCAATAAATATTTACCAAGTACTTCTCATGTAAAAGACTCTACAGAGTCCCATCTCCCTGGGAGGCCCCAGTAAATTAAGTCACTATTCTCCTGAGAAAGGAACTGGGCAGGAAGTATAGTCTTCATTTTACAGATGCATAAACTAAGGCTCAGAGAAGTTAAGTGATTTGATCACCCCGTGGACCCACAATTTCAACCAGATCTTCCAACTGTGCTGTCTTGGACTTGCCAATCACGTTAAACATTACAGAGCACCCACATTAGATGTGGTCTGAGAAAAGGTTTCTGAATCTGTCAGTTGGTAGGTCATTGTTGGTAACTTTTGAGAAACAATTTACTTGGATAGGTGAGATGTAGCAAGTTAATTGGTAAATGTGATGAAGAAGTGGGAGGAGCAAGTACAAATCACTCTTTCCAAACATTTGACAGTGAAGAAAATGATTAACAAGACAGTAGCTTGAGAAGAAAACAAAGAAAAAGAATTGGTGGGGCTGGAACTTGAACATCATTTTAGGTTGAGCCTATGGAGATAAAAAAAAAAAGAATAGGATACCATCTATAGAAATTTTTTTAACACAAAAAATTTAAAATACACACATAATGGACTTTGGAGCAGACTGTTCTGGGTTCATATTCTGACTCTGCTACTTAGTAATTAACAGAACTCAATTTCCAAATCTAAGAAATAGTATAACTGTGGCTCCTTGTATTATGTTTAAACAAAATGTTCTCTACTCACTGGCATGTAATAGGCAGTCTCTCCCCATCTCTCATCCATAGCTCTCCTCTCTTACACCCAAAATTAAGGTTGCCAGGTAAAATAAGTGCAATATTTGGGACATACTTTTACTAAATGATTCCTTGTTTTCCTGAAGTTTAAATGTAATTGTACATGCTGATTTTGTTTTTCCTAAATCTGGCAACCCTACCCAAAATAAAATACCTTGTATCCACATGTCATGATGAAGATTGAAGACCTGAATAAAGAGGTAAAATGCTGTGAGGTGCTGTCTCCTACTGGTGGAATGTGGCAACACCAACTATACCAGCAAAGATGCACACCCTATAGTGGCTTTCATAAAAATAGAAAATAAATGACACCCTATGGGTAGAAAAACCCCACTCAATCAGAGATCCAAAAAGAAAAAAACAATTAAAAAACAGGACAGTCTAAGGGAACTGTGGGACAACATGAAACATAATATTTGCATCACAGGTGTGCCAGGGGAGATTGAAAGTAAGCAAGGATTAGAGAACCTGTTTGAAGAAATAATGGCAAAAAACTTCCCTAACCTGGTCAAGGAAAAAGCACACAAGTTCAGGGGGCACAGAGAGCCCCAAGCAAGAAGAATCCAAAAAGGCCCACACCCAGACACATCATAATTAAAATGCCAAAAATTCAAGACAAAGAGAGAATATTAAAGGCAGCAAGAGAAAAGCAATCTGTTACCCATAAAGGAGTTTCCATAAAGTTGCCAACTGACTTCTCATCAGAAACTCTACAGGCCAGGAGGGAATAAATGAGGTATTCAAGGTAATACAAAACAAGAATCTGAAACCAAGACTACTCTATCCAGCAAGGCTATTATTCAAAATAGATGGTGAAATAAAGAGCTTCCCAGAAAAAAAGGCCTAAGGAGTTTATCACCACCAAACCAGCATTGTAGGAATTGTAAAAGGGACTGCTGTAATTAGAAGTAGAAACAGAAACATTGCAAGAAATGTTAAAGGGACTGTTGTAATAATAATAAGAAATAGAGAGAGAAACATAGGCATAAAGAATTAAAATGGCAATAAATAAGGACCTATCAATAATAACCTTAAGGACTTTAAGAGAGAGATCAACAGCAATACAGTCATAGTCATGGACTTTAACACCCCACTGACTTCACTGGATAGATCTTCCAGACAAAAAGTCAATACAGAAACAATGACCCTAAATGACACACTAGATCAGATGGATTTAATTGATATTTACAGAACACTTCACCTCAAAGCTGCAGAATAGACATTCTCCTCAAGTCCACATGGGTCATGCTCAAAGATAGGCCACATGTTAGAACACAAAACAAGTCTCTGCAAGTTCAAGAAGAGTGAAATCATATCAAGCATCTCAGATCACAATGGCATGAAATTAGCAATCAATTACAGTAAAAACACTCAAAAACATTCAAACACATAGCACTACAGGCCTACCTCAAAAGCAAGAAACAATTTTAGTAAATTAACCCTACAACTTAAAGAATTAGAAAGTTCCCCTGTGAAGCTGTCCAGACCAGGGCTTCTGTTTTCTGGGAGTTTTTTTTATTATTGCTTCGATTTCATCAGTTGTTATTAGCCTATTCAGGTTTTCTGATTCTTCCTGATTCAGTTTTACATGATCTCACTCATACGTGGAATCTAATAAACAAAACAGACTGAGGAACAAAATAGATCCAGAGACATAGAAGCATGGAACAGGCTGATGAATCTCAGCGGGCAGATGGGGGTGGGCAGAGATTAATCAAAGAATTTATATGCATATTTGCATAATCCAGGGACACAGATAATAGTGTGGAGAAGGCCTGGGGGATGGGGCAGATGTGGGGTGGAGGGGATCAATGGGGGCAAAAAGGGGGATACCTGTAATACTTTCAACAATAAGGATAAATTTTAAAAACCACACATCCTGTGGAGGAGAGATGGAGTCTTCATTATCCTTGCTAATATTTTAGTCTAAATTTATTGCTACTGTAACCCTACTACCTTTTAGTATTCACTGTTACCAATATATATGTATATATTTTTAGTTATGTCCTTTTATAGTTTTTTGTCAGGGTTAGTAGAACATTACTGATATTCATAACATGTCTTCTAACTGGATTCCAGCATATTCTTTGTATATGTTTTAAATTGTACACTGTCACTTACAAAACCTCTTTAAAGTCACTGTCAGTACATGCATATTTATTTCTCCTTATGAAAGTATAATGTGTCTTACATGTGACTTAAATGCTGGCACATGCTATAGGTGAAGCACTGATACATAACAGGTACTCAATAAAATTAGAGCTTCTTTATTACTTTAGTGATATCACGTTAGTATAGTGTTATAACAGAGGAACCCGGTGAGGTGCCTCATAAGTAGTTTCTAGTAAAAAGGAAAAAAGAGGCTTTCTGAATGTATTCTCCACAGGAGCTCAGAAAATACAAAAGCTTCCCCAGGTGCTGTGCTATCAGGATTCGTCTTCCGAATGGTGGAGGGAACGAGCAGCAAGTGTTTCTCTCACGCGCTCTGTAGCCGTCCGAAGCTCACCTCTGGGTTAGGAGGCAAACACCTGCTTGGCCCAGCAGCTGCATTCGCCAAAGCTACGTGTGCGTCTTCCCAGCCGCACCCGCCTTAAACGCTGCGCTATCGAGTTTACAGTACTTCTTCCTCAGGAACGCCACTCTGTCTATATGCTGAGAAGCGCAGGTCAGGCCATGACAGAAAAGCCACTGAGGTTCCTCAGGCTCCTTTGTAAGGAAAGGGTCACGGGAGTGGTGCCGAGCTCCCGGAGGCAGGAACAGAGGTTTTGTCCCTGGGAAATGTTTCACCGGGGACCAGGTCAGGGTTGTTTCCGTCTTTTCACTTGTTTTAGTGTGATCATTATGCATCTTTAATTCTATGTCATAATCAGCAAATTTTTCTTTATTCTGATAATGTAGCTGAGCCTCTCGCTTCAGAAATGGAAGTGGGATGCCGGATGGAGAAAAACGAGCAGTTCCTGCAGAAGCTGGGAGAGAAGGCTGTGGACAAGTGTCTGGATCTGAACAACTGCGGATTAACCACAGCGGATATGAGGGAGCTGGGTCTGTATGCAGTTGACTTTGCACAGAGAGGAACCTGGGGCCTGTAGGTTGAAATGGGCAGGCAAAACACACTCATTGCTCACTTGGTAACCCAAGGTCTGCAGGGTGGCCCCAGGCTACTCAGAAACAGCAGCTGCACTACTAATTTTTTTAAACACAAGTTGATTTATCCTTCCTCGAGCTTCAAAGATTTGAGCTGAGGAAGTTCATTTGTTTGTTTTTCCTGAGCATTTTTACCTCCCTACTGACTGCCTCAGGCTCCCTGAAAAACATCTGTTCTTGCCTATGATACGAACCTATGAAACTCAGCGGTAAAACTGAGCCTTCTTGGGAACTTAAAGGGGTACTGAGCAATAGTTGCTTACACTTTTTGTACACAAATGTATCACTACCCTTTGTTACACCAAAGCAGGAGTCTAACTGTGAAGAGCCCTATGTCTGCGCCACCATCGCCACCATCCCCACCCTTTTTCTCAGATACTTTAAATCAAGCCTTTAATCAAATTAGATGTGTCTACCGATAGAGATGTATCAAAAGAAATGTGTTTTGAATGAGGAGTCCTTGGCTGTTTTAATTAAAATCCATGCCATTATCACTGGGACAGTTCTCTAAGAGCGAACTCCAACCATGCCTGTGGTTCTCAAATGCCCGTGTGTCGGAATCACTTGTAGAGCCTGTAGAAGAAATGCAGGCACTTGAGTCCAACCCAAATCCACTGAACAGTAATCCCTGAGAGTGGATCCCAGGAGCTCTGGTTTTCTTTTTCCCCCCCTTCTTAGTATGTTCAATAGACTTATGCTTTTATAAAGTTAGGACCATTGTGAACAAGATGAAATTGCTAATGTGCTTTGAATGCTGGTGAAAAGAAAACAATTTTCCACTCGTAAGCATAACCTCAGAATTTCAGAAGGCTGGAGCTGCTGTGCCTGTAAGTGTAGAAGCTCAGCATGCCATTTCGACTATTGCCACCACTTTAACATTCAAGACAGATATTTAAAGGCAAAGATGCTTTACCGCCTCTGTGTTGGCATTTCCACTCAAAAGTCTTGTTGCTTCAGGAGATAAAGATGGCCTTGGAGGATCTTTTTCACAGAGGGCAACTTCAATTTTAATAAGCAGTAGCAGAGACTCAGAGAAGGTTCCAGTTGGGCTTTGTGCCAGTCTAAGTGTCCATATGTTACCCATTTAAGCATTACAGCAGCTTTTTAAGGTGGTGATGCCCAAGTCATCAAGACTTTAAAAAAAAAAAAAAGGCAATAGGCACCTGCAACCTCAGCAATCCTGGCCCAGAGAGCAGCCCCCAGACCACCAGCCTGAGAATCTAATAGAATGACTGGGTGATGGGTGTCAGAGGGTTTTGCGAATTACAAGGACTAGTATACACATCACAGAGACAGTGGTGGTAATGGGATTACCATTTCCTCTGCAGTAAAGAAGATCTTATGAAATCTTATGGAGACACCACTGCATTTTCAGACTGAAATTATTTGGAAAAAATAGAAAACATCCCAAGAAATAGGAAATGTAAATGCACAATCTCTCTGATTGTACGGTCGAGAGATCCCTGAGAGAGCCACATGCCCTCGTCCCCGCTATTCTCCTACAGTGCAAAACTATATTCTGTTTACTACATATCGCAAATTGCATATGCAAATCTGTGTTTTCTTTTGTTCACGTCTAGTTGCTTTGCTGCCTTTTCTCCCGGACTTGGAAACACTGGACATTTCTTGGAATGATCTTGTAGGTGGAACCCTCCATTCAATCACTGAGCAAATGCATCTTGTCAGCAAGTTAAAAAGCCTGAGGCTGGGTAGTTGCAGACTTACCGTGGATGATGTTCGAGCACTGGGTATGATGAAAGCTTCCCTTAAAAGACTTCACTTAAAGTATCTTTGCAGCCTGACTCTCGAGGGCAAACTATCTGGGTCACCCCACCCTCGATGCTCCTGGATGAGTGTACTGTGCATGAGGCAATGCACATGATGTAATGTGGTGTTGAGCACTAGTGTAAATTCTACAGAGCTGTGTAACCTGTACCTTGCATTGTGCTAATTTCCAGGATAGAGAAGGGAACAAGGCCAACCAGGTACCTGCCCTCATGGAGTTTAAATGGAGATCATTGTGCCTGGCTAGGTGTGGCTCAGTGGTTGAGCATCGACCTAGGATCCAGGCAATCAGGGTTCGATTCCCGGTCAGGGCACATGCCCAGGTTGTGGGCTTGATCCCCAGTCGAGGGCATGCTGATCAATGACTCTCTCATCATTGATGTTTCTATCTCTCTCTCTCTCGTTTCCTCTCTCTGAAATCAATAAAGATATATTTTTAAAATAAAAAATAAATTTAAAAAAATAAATGGAGATCATTGTAAAACTGGCTCACTCTGGGTCTGTTACCTAATCTGTAAGATAGAGTTGAAGTAGGTAATAATTAAATTCTTCACCAATTCCAAAATAATCTCTTCTATTTTTCCACTTCCATTTTAAAAAATTTATCAAAACAAGATTTTTCAACTAAAAGAAATGGTTTAAACAGAAGCAGAACCTCAATTAAGTTAGCTTATGGCTTCAGGACGTTGGAAGGAGTAGTATATATACTGTGCCTGTAAATATAGAAGCTCTCCCTGCTGGGAGTGGCAGGAACTGGGCCCTTTTCTTCCTCTCTGCACCTAACTAGTACCTGGCGGTGCTTCGATACTCCATAAATAATGGTTGGACTCATTTTGAAATGGATTCTCTATTTTGCGGACCAGTGATCAATCTTTGGGCCACTTTGTCACAGGAGAAGCACTTAAAGTGATACCTAACCTTGAAGAGCTGAATTTGTCCTGGAACAGTAATGTAGGAGGAAACTTGCCTCTGATCTGCCAGAAGTTCCAAGCAGGGAGCAATATACAGAGGCTGGAGCTTGTGGACTGTGCCCTCACATCAGAAGATGGGGTGTTTGTGGGTAAGTGGAGTTTGGAAGAGTCCTTTCCAAAAAAACAAGAATGTGAAGACACCCACGATTGGAGTCAAAGTTGGCCGTTTTCTCTTCACCCTGAACTGAAAGAGTGGCTCACTCCATCGCTGGGCCCCGCGAGGCTGCACTCTGCTCCTGCCTCCCCAGCTCCCACACCTGCGTTTCTCCTGAGTTACTCTTTTTGTTCGGATTTCCTTCCTTCCAGGTCAGCTGCTACCTCTGCTGCAAAATCTTGAAGTACTTGATCTTTCCATTAACAGAAACATCGGTGGCAGTCTAAACAGTATTGCTCAGGGATTAAAAAGTGCCTCAAATCTGAAAGTACTAAAGCTACAGTCATGTGGATTATCACAGAAGAGTGTCAAATTATTGGGTAAGCTAGCAATGGCTAAACTTTATATACATATATATTATGTTTTTATGTATATATATATTTAATTTTTTTTAACTATTAGGAAAAACATATAAACTGTGCTTATGCTGAGGAATAAGATACGGGTAACTTAAATCTTCTTTATGTCTGATGTATTTTCTTTTACTCACTGGCATATACTTTCATGATCATAAAAATAACCTTTTAAAATGGATGAATATGAAAAAACCAGGATATTTTAGGTTTGATAGATACTGGGCAAAATACAAGTTTCTGTGCTATTAAAGCACTCCATTGTCTCTTACTTTTGAAAATGTCAGCATTATTTTATGCTCAGCAGTAAGGAATTGGTACTGATAGAAAGAATGGCTTCAGTGGTATCCATAGTTAAAATGTATTTCCTATATAGAGCATCCACATTAAAGGGGAATGTGAAAGGAAATGAAGTTTTCCCTTCTATGTATGGAGCCCGTGATATCCTTCTCACTGGCAGTTTGAGTAAAGGACTCTATGAAAATGCCAAAACTCAAGTGCAGTAGGAGAACCATTAGTGGCAGAACCATTGTGTGTTTGAGGTCATTGTCAAATCCAAAGAGGGATAGATGGGAAGGAGTCTACAGTCTACAGTTATTCCTCTGTCTTGGCATTTTTCTGAGCGTATTTTCTCAGTCTCCCTTCTGTGCATCTGTGCCCTTCCCTGCTCCATGCCTTCCTTCCACCTTGTGATATGTCAGAATGGGATTTTACTTTCTTTGTAGATGCTGCTTTTAGATTCTTGCATAATCTGAGGAAACTTGACCTTTCCTGCAATAAGGAACTGGGTGGAGGTTTTGAAGACTCATCAGCTCAGGTGGCCACACTGGAGCACCTGCAAGTCCTGGACCTTCACCAGTGCTCACTAACAGCAGGCGACGTGGTGTCCCTGAGTAAGTGTGTGCTGCAGAGCCAAGGAAGGACACTGGGGCCTTGACATATGTTTAGAAACTTGGCAAATTTGAGGTATACCCTTAAACTTACTATTTAGGAAGTCACAGGGAGGCTCAAATCATAAAAGTTCGGTGAATGCTCCAATATAGTATTTGGCATGTATTAAGTGCCCATTAAATGTTAGTGAATCAGTTGGTTGGAGGGTCATCCCATATACCAAAAAGTTGCGGGTTCAATCCCCCTGGGCAATACCAGGTTGTGGGTTCAATCCTTGGTAAAGGTGAGTATGGGAGGCAACCAATCAATGTTTCTCTCACATTGATGTTTCTCTTTCTCTCTCCCTCCCCCCCTTCCTCTCTCTATAAAATCAATAAAAACAAAACAAAACATATCCTCAGGTGAGGATTAAAAAAATAAAGTAAAATAAATTTCTCCTATACATGTCTATAAATGATAGACATGGCACTTGAAGGAGAACATTTTGGATTTATGTTGTTTAGAAACGAAATCTGTTGGTGTCACCAAATTTATCACAGGGAAGGATGCAGACAGAAAGTCAAAGTGAAGGGTGCTGAGGCTTTCAGACTAACAAGTAAGTTAAGTCACTTAGATACAAATGAAGTTATGGAAAAGTCAGCGAGGTGGTACATAACAGGTGTCCATTATAACTTCAGGTATTACACTTCTACCCCAGACATAGTCCTGTTATTACTATAACATGTAATGTATCAGTGCAGTTTCCCATAACACACAGCAAGCATAGCCTTGAGATTAAGGGTTTTATTCCAACTGTAACCACAATAAACCTTCAAAATACATCCAGAATCTGATCACAGCTCACCTTCTAGACCTCTACTACCCTGGTTTACTACACAGTCATCTTATGCCTAGATTATTGCAAGAGACTAAATGGTCGCCCTCTTCCTGTATCACTCAGACTTCATTCTCTGCCCCCTCCTCTCACTGACAATACTCCAGCCACACCTTCTGTGCTGATCTTCAGGCACACCAGCTACGCTCTGTCCCTGGGACCTTTGCCCTTGAGCTCTCTCCAGATCATGGGTTCCTCCCAGGTAGGGGTGTGTCTCCTTCACCATCTTTCCTTTGCTCAAACACAGGGGCTGGCACATAGTGGGCACCCAGTAAATGTTTGTTGAATATGTGATTGAATGAATTAATGACCCAATGAACAACAATAAAAGGAAATTTTTAGTTGTGTTTAGTACAATTTGGGGAGGAAAACAGCAAAATAGGTTTTGAGGTTTAACGTCTTTTAGACCTGTTTAGATATTTCTTAGGCTCTTATCCCGAGCTCCAGGAGAGCTTTATGAAGTCATACCTGGGAGAAACACTCCTGAGTTACCAGTCCATCAGATTCCAAATAATAAATCTCCCTTGGTATGACTGAACAACATGAATACCACATCTCATCTTGTTGCTCAGAGGAAGATTCAACTGCTAGAGGACCTCAACTGTTACCTCTAATATAACAGAGGGATTAGCCTCTCTTATCTAGATTCATGGCCAGCAACATGGGTGAATGGCCCTGGGGAACTAATGATTATTTAGAAGCTGTAGCAAATTGCATTGTTCTTCTGCTTAATTTTGAAAAGATGGAAATTAAAATACATCCTGTTGATGTATTATGTACTAAAAACATAATACCTTATGATGTTAAATAATTGTTTTTTTCTCTAAATTAAGTGTTCTTTTATCTAATCATTCTAGACAGCTTCAAAGAAATGGAATTATAGATCATTTAGCCAACAACTATTGATTAATCATCTGATTGTACTAGGTACAGTGTTGTGGGCTTAGGAAAATTCACAGTCAAGGGGCTTCAGTCTGGTAGGGATAGTACTAAACCAATAAATATCCAAATTGCATGGTGAACTACAAAGTGCTGTGGGGGTTCAAAGAGGGAGTAATTGTTACATTTGTTGGGATCACAAGTGCTTGGCTTCCCTTCACCTTTCTTTCTCCTGTCCTCCTGCCCTTACATAATTCAGAATTCTGTGTTTATTTGTTGGTTTGTGTCTCCGACGTTCCCGGTTCTGATGCACTCTCTGGGAACTGAGCAGTTCCTACACACAGAATCCACCCTCAGTGAGGGTGGACAGAGGACAAACACACAAACAAAAACGGCATAATGGGGGTGATGTGAGGGAAATAAAATAGGGCAATGTGATAGTGACCAAGGGGTTACTGTGACCAGAGCTTAGATGGCCTGAGGTGAGCCAGCCCCACCGAGATCCCAAGATACCACATTTTCATACTGCAGGGGCCCTCAGGAGCCAATCCAGTGCTGTTACCAACAGACATCTGTTCTGATTGCTTGATTTCGCTGCCTTCCACTTTTAGACTGAGAAAAGAACAATAATATCGAACAGTAATTGAGCAGTTGATGTGTGCTGGGCATTGCACTGAGCACCATAGTTAGATATAGATTAGATATAGATAGATATAGATATAGATATAGATATAGATATAGATATAGATATAGATATAGATATAGATATAGATATAGATATAGATATAGATATATAGATATCAATGACCCTATGAAGTAAAATTGCTATTATTGTTATTGAGAAAACTGAAGTTCAGAGATGTTAAGTAACTTGTCCAAAATCACACAGTTCTTTAGTAGCAGAGACAGGATTAGAGCGCAGTTCTCTGTCTCCAAAGGTCTTTGGAGAGAGGCTTGGAAGTGGGAAGACTCAGGCTGCATACTGGGAAGAGTGGCTGGTTTGTGTGGTGTGTAAGTGTGTTAAGGAAGGGCAGGACTTGCCAATCAAGAAGATTGCAGGAACCAAACACCCAGAAGTCTCTTTGTGAGCCGGAGCCTAAACCACTTCACTGTTGCTGTTTTAACAGCCCAGGTTATCCCCTTACTCTTGAGTCTTCAAGAATTGGATTTATCTGCCAACAAAAAGATGGGAACCTCTTCTGAAAACCTACTCAGCAGGCTCCGATTTTTACCAGCACTGAAGTCATTACTAATCAACAACTGTGCTTTGGAAAGGGAGACTTTTACTGCCCTTGGTAAGAAAATCCCCCAGGAGGCATGGTAGAGTAACACCTGGGGGAGTAGGGGGGGTCTCTCTTTTCCTACACGTGAACTTCGTTATTCCAAGATTCCAAGACGCAGCCATAGGCAAAGGTGTTAAGTACTAATTTGTCTTCTTTTCAGGAAATATGCTTTCTTAAAATATGCTTTCTGAAGGGCACATGAATAACTCTGGCATTTGCACATTTAACATTTAAAATTTAAAGTGAATATAACCAACTCCAGAGGTCCATGTCCATAGTAACGTAATTTCAATGAGGCACCAGTATAAATTGGGATTGCTGTCTGATGGGGAAAGAGAGGGAATTACTAGCCTGTGAGCTTAGCTGACTGTCTAGCACCCACTTCCCAACAGGATTTGTTGTTCTCTCTCAGGACTTTGGGCATGCCTGAAGGTCATGGAGACAGCCCAGCCTATATCAAGGGTCTACTAAATCTGACATTTCTGCCTTTTTGAGGGCAAGAGCATTGCCAACCAGCAAGTAGAGGGAGACATTTTGAGGCAAAGGGATTTTGGAATATCTTCAACATACGTCCCAGGCAGCCAGCACTAAGGGCACGAGGCCTGGTGGGGGTCCCCCATACTACGCTCAGTGATTTCTCTAGAACTCACGGGTCTCAGCATATGGTCATACTCATGTTGAGATTTATTACAATGGAGGGATATAAGGCCAAATCAGCAAAGGGAAAGGCGTACGGGGCGAAGTCCGGGGGAAACCAAGCACAAGTGTCCAAAAGTCCTCTGGTTGTAGAATCACACAGGACACACTCCATTCCGCCAGCGTGTCATAATGACACGTGTGAAATGTCTCCTGAACCTTCAAGTCCAGGCTTTTTATTGGGGTTTGGCCACTCAGGTGCCCTCTACCTGACACAGATCAAAATTCCAGACTCACAGAAGGAAGCTGGTGTCCCGCATCTATCATATTATTTGTACCCAAACACTGTAGGCACAGTGAAGCACCCTTATCAGTCAGCGAATGGTGGGAACACTTCCAAATTAAGTTGCCAGATGTCAGCCAAGGGCCAAGCTTGCAGGCAGGCCTTTCTAGGGAGAGCAGTCTCAGGCCTGGTAGGTTAACTCTTTTTGCACACGTGCACAAGACTAGAGACTGGATTCGGGTGCTTCCTGTAATACAAGAAAAAAGAGTCCTCCTCGCTTACCTCCCAAGTGTTATGTCAGTTGACACTTCCTTAAAAATGAATTGTACTATGGACCAGTTAAGGGCTATTATTAACTAATTAAATGTATTCTATTAATAAAATAAGTAGCTATTTATTAATACCTGTTACTAGAAATAAATGCATATCATTTACCCCAAATTCTATATTTAGGGTACTCTTGACCCCATTTTCAGCTCAAGTATTTTGTTCAGCTCACACAGACGTGGTCCTTGCCATGTACTGCTCCCAGCATTGCTCATGTCATTGGAAATCTTGACCAGCTGCCCAAACTCTTTGCTGTTTTCTCCTTCTTAAATGTGAAGGAAGGAAATGAATTCCACTTAATCAAGCTTTATTTTCCTAAAGTGTCCAACATTTCTCCCAAATAAAAATAGACAAAATAAATTGAGGCCATGAATTTCAGGCAGGAGAGAACAATCTCTACAGCTTTCTGAAACTCAGCTATGTTCCCATGTTGCCCTAGCCTGGGTTCCTCAAATCCAAGGCTTATGACCTCTAAGGAAGCCTAAATTATTACTATTTTTATTGCTCTCCTTTTAGCTGAAGCCTCCATTCACCTCCCTGCTCTGGAAGTATTCAGCCTTTCTTGGAATAAGTGTGTTGGTGGCAACCTGAAACTGCTTCTGGAAACACTAAGGCTTTCAACGTCCCTTCGAGTGCTGGCGCTGAGCAGCTGTTCCCTGGTGACAGAGGACATGGCTCTCCTGGGTTTGTATCTATGGGTTCCAAAGCAGTCCTGGCATGCAGAGCCCAGTATGCCTGCCCAGCAAGCCCAGGGGGAAAGAGGCAGAGAAGGCGGAGAAGGCAGTGAGGCCTGGGGCCCCCTTTGCAGCCTGCCTTCTCATGACACCTGCTCAGGAGGGATCTAGTTAAAACAAATAAGGGCAATTCTAAAACCAAAAGGACAGTGGAGGGAAATTTATTATTTGGAATCTGATGGACTGGTAACTCAGGAGGGTGTTTCATAAAGGAAAATAGACACAGATGTGGTGGTGGGAGGTTCCTGCCAAGTGACTAGCTCCATACCTCCCCACACGAGAGCCTTGAGTGTTCTTAACTCAGTGCTAACCGAACTTCAGTCATCTACATACTGCCTTTACAGATTTTGCCCTATCCACATGGTACCTGCACTATTACTTAATTTTTTTAATATATTGACTCTTTAACATAAATGCCTTTATTTAAACAGGAAGCTGATCATCATCACTGAAATACAGGTATCCTTTCTCATAGATAGACATCATTAGACTGTTGCCAGCTGAAGGAGGGGACTAGATAAGCCAAGATGGGTGTAATGAAGATAACTGTTGAGGCTGAATTATGGAGACATGAGGGTTCACTCTCCTGTCAACTTTTTATATGTTTCCAAAATTTCCATAATAGAAAATTTTCTGAAAAGTCATGCACATTGTCTTGAACACTTACTTGGGTCTTGAGAATATGCTGAGCAATGTTGCAAGGCTGAAAGACAGAAAGGGAGAAACACATTGACAAGGACATCTAGGGACTGAGTTCAGCTGTTGAATGTATATACTGCTAACCTCTCAAGTGCACTGTGGAGTCAAACTTGTTAGAAATGAAAGTAATGGGAATGGAGCATCCCACTTGGTCTGGAAGCCATGACGTACAAGAACTGATTGAAAAATCAAGGCACATTCAGTCCTAAAAGGGGAAAATTTGAGGGGACCTGACTGTTGTCCAATACTGCATGGCTAGCACGAGGAAGGAGCTGAGGTTTCAGGCAGCTGAGGTGGGCAATGGGGGAAAGTCACCAGAAGGCAGATGGGGGCCCAAAGGAAGGGCATCCTCCTGCTGAGAGCTGCTTCACTCTATGGGGCAACCTGAAAGGGTGCTTCAGGCAGAATCGGGCTGGTCATCATAGAAAAGCTGTAAAAGGGATTCTTCTCTGATCATTGATCTAGAGGTTGAATGAGGAGACCTTTAAAGGCCCTTGCACCTCTGAGATTTTACACTACTCATATCATCTCTATGATCCATTTTGACTAAAAAAGAAATCATGTACTGTTTGCCTTGGGTGTCTCCTCTAACCCCTCTTATAGAAGTCATTATCCTCTCATAGCTTCATGATTAATTATTGTTTATTAAGTGCCATTAACTAGGTAGTACTGTGATATGTGTTATTCAAAGAGAAAATTGTTCTGTGTATTAGAGTTCTCTCAGTTGGATTAGAAATTATCCAGGTATATTTTACACATTGTAAGTGCTCAGTTAAATAATCATTGATTAAAGAATAACAGAATGAGTGAGCAATGAACAATTAAACAGTATTAAACAGCAAGAAAACTATTTACTAATGGTCCTCAGTTAAACCCAATGAGCCATCGTTCCTCACATTTAATTAGAGAAAGTTTGCAGGAAGAGCTGGGACCCCAGTGAAGTAAAGAGCAGGAACTTCACAAAAAGATATTATTTGGGTAGGGCTTTGGAAAGAGAAAAAAAATCCATTTTCAAGTTGTCATGGGATGCACAGAGAGGAAATCTGTTAGTAAAGTAATTTCAGATGCCCTAAATAAAACAGCTAGCCAATAACAAATCATTACTAATTACCAATCTTGTCATTACAATCCTGGAGCTACTGTGTTGTTATTGGAAGTGGGAAAGAGCCATGACAGAAAGTATTCTTGTATTTTAACAATTAGAGTGATTTTGTTTTTCAGCATCAGTAATACACACAGGCCATCTGGCCAGGCTACAGAATCTCGACCTGAGCTATAACGACAGCGTCTGTGATGCAGGATGGGCCATCTTCTGCCAAAATGTGTGGCTGCTCAAAGAGCTGACTGAGCTGGATATTAGCCTTCGGCCATCAACTTTTCGGGATTGTGGACAATGGTTTAGACACTTGTTATGTGCTGTGACCAGACTTCCGGAGATCACTGAAATAGGAATGAAAAGATGGACTCTCCCACCTTCACTGGAGGAAGAGCTCAGATGCTTTGACCAAGATCACGGACGCAGCATTCACTTTGACCACGGTGGATTTCAGTAGGCTGGTTTCCCAAGGTTGCATACATGATTCCATTTATAGAACATTCTTGAAGTAACAAAATTATAGCCATGGAGAACAGCTTAGGGGTTGAGAGAGGAGTAGGTGGTAGATGTAACTAAAAGGAATAACACAGTGAAGACCTGTGGTGATGGAACAATTCTGTATCTTGATTATGGTGGTGGCTACATGAAGCTACATGTGACAAAACTGCATTGACCTACACACACACACACACACACACATGCACATGCACATACACACAAATGAGCGTATGTATAATGATGGAATCTAAATAAGTTCTCTTGATGGTACCAATGTAGATTTTCTGGTTTTGTTATTGAATTATAGTTACATAAGATGTCAACACTAAGGCAGGGTAAAGGGTACATGGACCTCTCTTTGGAATTTCCTATGAATATATAGTTATTTCAAAATTAAAATTTTTTAAAAGTAGAATACTGTAACGAACATCCATGTACCTATTAGATGCTTCTGCAATGATCAGCTTATGGTTAGTCTTGTTTCATTTGGATCCCTCACACTTACCTCTCCCTGATATTATTCTGAAGCAATTCCCAGGCTTCATATCATTTTATCACAAATATTTCAGTAAAGGTAAGAATCTTTATTTGTACACATAACCATAATTCTGTGAATAATGTTAGTGTGGTGGCCATCTAATTCCTATATATGTTGCCTTCTTAATCCACCAGGGTTCATTACCTCAAGTCATTAATCTACAAAATTATTTCTTCTTTTCCTTTACAGGTTTTTCTTTTACATCTTTCTTTCCTTTCTTAGGTTTTGGAGAATTCTTCCCTTTCTTTCGCAGTTTTAACAGTTCACCAAATCTCCCAAATCCTTTCCGTACCATCATTCCGCGCCACCACGCCTGAAGCTGAAAACGAGAGAAACCCAAACAGCGTCAGCTGGTATCGCTGGGGATGGTTACGTCTCTTTGTTCTGACATGTGGTTTTAAAGATGTGGAGAATGGAATGTGATTGGAACTCTACACCTTATTATTTTTCTTTCTCAACTGGCCAGTCTTCCAGGAATTTTTTTTTTTTTAAGTATTGGGTATTTTTATGCGCCAAGCACTGTCCTAAACCTTTGGGAAACAGCAGTTAAATACTGTTGTCACTGCCTTTGGGGAGCTCACGTTCCAATGAGGGGACGAGACAATAAACAGTAAACACATGCATGGATCATGAGACATGTGTTCCGTGCCCTGGAGACGACAGCGCGCAGTAAGGGGACCCGGGAGTGCCTCTGCCCGGCCTGCCTTCTGGCTGCTAGACTTCCCATGCCCCTGCCTGCCCACAGCCCGCCCTCCCTGCCTCTTCCCTCCCGCCTACTCAGGAACACCCCTCCTCTAGTAGTAAGTAGGCTCTTGGAAACTTTATCATCCAGAACTGTGAGGAAATACATTTCTGTTGTTGAAGCCTAATCTCTGGCTTGTTGTTACGGTAGCCTGAGCTAACTGAGGCAGTCATTTTTCCAGTGAGGCCTACCCTATCATTTAAATTGAAATCCCACAACACACACACACAACTTCTAGTAATCTCAGGTCCCCTTGGCTTGAACTTTTTCTCCAATACCACTTATCACTTTCTAACACAGTATATAATTTTGTTTTATATTTGATGTTTTTATTCCCATCACACTAGACTTTAAGCAATATGAGGATAGCAATATTTGTGTTTTGTTCATTGATGTACTTCCGGTGCCTAGAACAATGCCTGGCACATAGTAGAAGCTCAACAAATATTTGTTTAATGAATGAATGAATAAGTTAGGTGGGGTATGCTGTTTTATATAAGGTGGATTAAGAGCAGTTATGAGGATATTTGAGCAGAAACTCAGCAGAGGGCAGAGTCTTGTCCATATCTGGGGGAATCATCTCTGGGCAGGAGGAGCCAGAGTTAAGACCCTGAGGCACAAGCATGCTTGGACGTTGGAAACATACTAAGGATCCTGTCTGTGACTCAAGTAAAGCAAAAATGGGAAAGATGAGATGGGGAGTAAAAGCAGATCAGTTAGGGTGGTGATTTTTCAGGGGACAGTACTGCCCTCTAGAGGCATTCTGAAAATTACAGGGCTTTGTGTTGTCTTCAGGTCTTCAATTGTGTGACATAGCCCCTGGTCCACAAAGGCTTGCCGAGGGTGTGCACGCTTGGGTAGTTTGGAGGCAATCTGTTTCCAAAATTTCAACTTCCGTATATACCCCTTCCTAAAATGTATCTGCCTAGGAACACAGCTGCCCCTCGGCACACCTCTCATCCACCTGTATCTGACTAGGGTGTGTTGCCCTGGACTTCAGAAACCTCTGGGACACCAAAACTAGGACAATTCAAAATAGTTATTATTGATGTGGGCTCTAAGGACATGGTTATCAATCCTTTTGCCTTCCAACTCTTTGCCTTCAAGAAAAGTGAAAGTGGACCAGTTGATTTGTCTGCTAAGAGCCTGGTATCATCTGATTTTGGGGGGTATAAATCTGGGAAACGTTCAAGAGATATGGAAGATACTGCCATTTAAAACAAAATGTAGGCAAAGAAAAACGCTTCTTCCATGCTCATCACCTTATTTATGGGGACTAGGTTTCTCAGCACTTCATCTGTAAAATGAAACACTAGCATAGAGCTGATGCCAAGCCCCATCTCACTCTAGCCATAAGTAATATTTATGCAAGGATACATAAACTATGTGAAAAAGTTTCTATCATTTGTATGTGTATTTCACAGAAATCCTATAGGTCAAATAATTAAACATCAAAATTAATAATAGATGTTATGTTGTTTTGGTCAATTTTATATTACCAATAATTATAATATGACTAATAAAATATAATAATCCAGAACATTAAAAACCCTGTAGTCACAAAAAAATTTTTATTTTAAAATTTAATTTACATAAAAATTTTGGTTGCCTATAAGTATGAAAGGTGATCCATAAGTGACTTAAAATTACATATATAACTAATACTATATACACACACACACATATATATAATCACATAAAACATTAAGATCAATTCTAAAGGGAAAATGGAATAAAAATACATGTTCAAGAAGAAAAGGACATGGCAAAATTTCTGCCTGTAAAATAAGAACTTGTTCAGGTATTTTGTAAATTGACGTTGACTGATGTATCAAATCAAAATAATATTTAGATTCCATTGGGTACATTTAAAATATTGGTTTAAGAGCTATTTGAAAATGTCAATATTTAAAATTCACCGGAAAGTAGATCCCTTGCAATGGTTTAAGCTTAGTGGCAAAAAAATTTAAATACCAATTTTGAAAATGTTCAAGAGGGTGTATGGTTGCCCCGCTGGGTGCGGCTCAGCTGTTGAGCATCAACATAGGATCCAGAAGACTGAGGTTCAATTCCGGGTCAGGGCGCATACTCGGGTTGCGGGCTCCATCCCCAGTAGGGGGTGTGCAGGAGGCAGCCAGTTGACAACTCTCTCATCACTGATGTTTCTGTCTCTCTCTCTCTCCTCCCTTCCTCTCTCTGAAATCAATAAAGATATATTTAAAAAAAAAAAATAGGGTGTATGGTTTTTCAAAATGCTTTTAGGAAGTTTCCAAAAAGTATTATTATTTTTCTTCCAGTTTAGTCATTCTTGAGTATAAGCATATTAAAATAAATATTGTAATATAAATTACTTTTCTTTTTCCTTTATGTTATAGCTCAGGCATTACTTTGATTTATTAAAATTATGTGGTTTTGGTAGGTTATATTATCTATGAGTTTAATTTCAGGGAAAATGGAAAACGGTTGATTTCAGCAGAGGGGGGCTGATTGACCTGTTTTGACAGCATCAGCCTGACTGCTGAGTGGAAGGTATATTTTAGGGGGAGCAGGTGTGGAAGTAGGGTGTGAGAAGATGGGAGCTAGGACCAGTTGAATAAAGAATGCTGAATACTGACTGAAGTGGACACATTCCTGGTCTGCCGGGGGCATCCTTATGTCTCCATGAGCTTGGTGGCCAAGAAGGGGAGTGCCAGGGCTCTTAGCCCTTTGATTAGTTAGCGGCAGAGCAGAACTCTGGTCTCTAGACCTCTGCTCCATAAATGCTTTCATTTCTAATTTTTCAGCCTTCATCTTACTGACTTTAACATCAGCTTTTCACTCCAGTGAATAGTCTAAGAATTTTAGATTGTTTTAGGATTTGAAATTTGGGGTTCTTTTGCCTGGTTGTCGGCTTCTTATCTGACAAGGAGATAAGGAACATAAAAGACAAAAATGCTTGGGTGGTGTTCAAAAGTCTCTCGCTTAGCCCTGGGTAAGTAAATAAGAGTCTCTACTCTTAAGGACAAGGTATAGATGTGTAAAGAGCAGCCCCATTGGATAATCTGTAATGTGTTTAACACTAACCCCTCTCCAAAGCAACTATGAATATATTATCCAGAAAGTTTGATGATTTTACCTTTGTCGCTGTTATTTTCATATTTCTTTTCTCCTTAAGGTATGTGAATATAGCCTCTTTGCCTTTGGTGTACACTTCTTTTGGGGGGTCCTCCATGGGATTGTCCATCAGTGTCAGGACATTTAGATTCACTAGACCGTCTAAATCCTCTGGAAGTTCAGTGAGCAAGTTGTCCTCAAGCAGTAATTCTCTCAAAGCTGAAACAATATTTTTAAATGATGAATCTACCTTAAAGACAGGCAAGATTAAAATGTGAATTCTTTAGTCCAGTCACTTTGAAATATTGTTTGTTTCCTACTGGGCCACGTCACAAGAAACATCAGATTCGATAATGCAAACCCAAGTTCTCTTCTTCACGACAACTCAAAGTTGTTGGAACTAGTGTAAATAAGTATTAGAGAAAGGAAAATAGTAAGCACTAAAAAATTTTGAGATTGTTTCATTCCTCCAGGGACCAAGGACAGGATAAAAATGTATAGTCAGGAAGAGCACTAAGGAGCACTGCATGCCCACCCTCAGCCTCTAATCTTGAATGTCTTGCGGGCAGGTAGCAGCTCCCATTCCCACTTCTCATCCTCCTTGCACTAAGAAGTAGTCATAGTTGGAGACATATCTATAAACCTGAAGATTCAGTACATTAAGGAAAAAGTTTTAATCTGGTCCCAGTAGGAACTCAGCAAGAGCTTGTTAACTGGATGGATGGATGAATGGATGTACGAATAATGGAAAACGTTTGAGTGTTTAAATATGAATCATATATGACTTTTCACGTCAATCATGTAGCTCCAAAAGCCCCCTACCTCTATCCCCCACCCCTAGCTGATTTCACCACTTTTATTTTATTTTAAATATATCTTTATTGATTTCAGAGAGAGGAAGGGAGAGGGAGAGAGAGAGACAGAAACATCAATGATGAGAGAGTCATTGATCGGCTGCCTCCTGTATGCCCCCGACTGGGAATCGAGCCCACAACCTGGGCATGTGCCCTNTGATCGGCTGCCTCCTGTATGCCCCCGACTGGGAATCGAGCCCACAACCTGGGCATGTGCCCTAACTGGGAATTGACCTTCGATCTCCTGGATCCTAGGTGGGTGCTCGACCACTGAGCCACACCCAGCAAGGCTGATTTCACCACTCTCCAGTCAGTATTTTTCTTTTCTTCAAGTCACTTAGAGACCTAATTGAATTTACTGCAGGACCCCCCAACTCCCAGTTCCAGCATGTAGTAGGTATTCAGTAAATTATTGTTGATGGTATAATGTGGATGAATTCTAATTTTCTTAGTAGTTGCTATTTACTTTTCTTTTTCAATTCCCAATAACTAATCTGCCTCTGTGAGGTTCTTAGCTGTACTAGTCAGGCACCCGACCTTCCCCACATCACTAGTGAGCCCTAAAAGGAGGTAATGGGGTAGGGCCAAGCTCTCTAAATACTGAAATTGTCTTTAGTAAAACAAAAAAGGCTTCATCAAGGGAAATGCTAGCTTCAAACTCTACTAGGCTGTGGACCTACTAAGATTCCCCACCTTGTCCTTGGCAGATGGCATCTGGAAGTTGCTTAAGCAGATTGTGGCGGCAATCAAGGATTTCCAGGTTAGGCATTGATCCCAAGGTTACTGGCAAGCTCTCTAGATGGTTGTTCTCTATATACAGCTCTTTAAGATTCTGAAATAATATGATAGTATACCATAATGATCCTCACATTGAAAAATGAATTATAATAACTAGAATCACCTGTGAGTTCCCATGTTCTTTCAAGGAGGGTTATTATGCATTGGAATAAAGGGGAAAAAACATTTAAAGGACCATCATCAAAAAGTTATTTTTGAGTTAAACCATTAGAAATGGTTCCCATTTATGTAGGGAAAATAGAACATGGAAATCTAGTGTTTATTTGTTTCATGAGAACTTTATAGAAAAATAATTTGGATCATTTAACTCCACACATCCAATATTGCCCAAGTGGAAGTAGCCAAGTGTACAAATAATAACTACTTTTGGACCTGGAGAATATTATGCTAAGTGAAATAAGCCAGGCAGCGAAAGACGAATACCACATAATCTCGCTTATACGTGGAATCTAAAGAACTTAATAAACTGATGAACAGAATAGATTCAATGACATGGAAGCATGGATGAGACTGATGAATGTCAGAGGGATGAAGGAGGGCGGGTGGGTGGAGGGGGAGAGAGTAACCAAAGAATTTATGTGCATATATACACAACCCAAGGACATGGACAATGGTGGGGAGAGGGACTGGGGAGGGGGAAGGAACAGGGTGGAATGGGTCATTGGGGAGAAAAAGGGACATCTGTAATATTTTAAACAATAATAAAATTAAAACAAAACAAAAAAAACCCCAAAACAGCAAATAATAACTACTTTCAAATTCACTGGGCAAAAATTTGTTTGTATTTCACCTTAAGATTTTGGAGAGTGTGACAGTACATGTACAATGAGCAGGATGATGAACGGAGTTCTTTGAACACAGGGCAAAGGATGGAGAATTAGGAAGAGGAACTCTGTGTTGTAGGTGAGAAGTATTTGTGCTATACAGACAATTGCTCAGTTCCATGACCGGGATAATGTAGTGTTATCCTACTTTATCAGTGTTAAGAGTGCAGTACCAAGAGCATAAAAAAATAACAATTCTTTAACATATGCATAAAGGTAAAGACACACTAGTATGGCTTCTTTGAATGAAGTTATCTTGTTGTTTTTTCTAGGATTTAGCATAGTGCTGTGGACCCATCTTCAGCGAACCAGGAGCAACAGTGAAATAGACCATGATTTGCCATCTACCATGTAGGGTGGGAAGCCTATTGCCCCATCCAAAATGTAGTTCCCAGCCATGTCACCTGTATGATATTTTAACTTCTAAATAGTACAACTTTCAGGGGCAAGTTATAAAAAGAGGAAACTAAATGAAAAACAGTATGGCTCAATTTCTGCAAATAAAACATTCCAAACAACACAGTGGAAAGGAGTATGACATGACATACCCAACAGTAATCACAAAATAATATTCTTCAGGTTTAAATCTGGGGGTTGCTCAGGAAGACAGGAGAAGGCTCAAAGTATAATAATGACTGCTTGTTTGGAGCTGGAAATCTAGTGTGGTTGGTTCCACGCACAGCCTGTAGGGACAGGGCCATGTTTTCTCAATATCGCCCAACTTAAGGAATCAGTAGGCGTGTACTTCTTTGCCTGTTCATTTGGGAAGGCTTACCTGTAGTTTCCCAATGTCCTCTGGCACATAGGAGAGCTTGGCTCCCTGATCTTGCCCAATGTATAATTTCTCCAAAGACTCTAAAGAAAAGATTTCTTCCGGGAAGAAAAAGAACTGATTCCCGCTTAGTCCAAGGATCTTCAATTTTGAAAGTGAGCTGATGTCTGAAGGTAACTAAAAGTATGCCAAAAAGATAAGTTTCAGGTTAAGATTTTTTTTCTTTTAAATCCTCACCTGAGGATATGTCTATTGATTTTAGAGAGAGAGGAAGGGGGAAGAGAGAGAGAGGCATTGATGTGAGAGAGAAACATCGATCATTGATTGGCTGCCTCCTGCACATGCTCCGCCTGGGACTGAACCCACAACCTAGGTATGTGACCTGACTGGAAATCAAACCCACAACCTTTTTTTTTTTTTTTTTTGCTGTATGGGACGACACTCCAACCAGCTGAGCCACTTGGCCAGGGCAGGTCAAAATTATTTTTAACAGTAAGAAAATAAATTGGGCTTTTAGTTTTGAGGCAGATTGTTAAACAAAAAAATAAAGCAATTTAGCAACTCCTACTCATGACAAATTTGCACATATGTTTGCATATATTCTATTTATACTTGCAGACCTAAAGTAGAGAGTTCCACTTTTTCCCTGAGCCTCTCTGCTCTTCACTCTTAGACATTGCTTTAAATTGGAGCAATTTTTAACCTTTATTGCAAATTTTTGACCTGTAGTGTAGCAAATGCTTGACACTGCTGAAAGAAAAAGAACTGAAGTTATTAGTGTAATATTGCAATTATAATATTCAAAATTAATTCAGTTATTAGAAGTGATAAATTTAGTGACATGGCCTCTCACCCTAAAAGGCTTTATTTAATTCAGCAATTTTTTCTACAAGTCCAATTATCTTTGTATCAGGAAATAGAGTTTCTGGACAGGGCTTCCATATATAGGTTGTGCACTACACAAGTCCAAGTGTGCAAAATGGCATGGTGACACTCAGCCCTGTAGCTGCAACTGCACTTATATATATTTTTTACATTCAATATTATTCTGTATTAGTTTCAGATGTACTGCATACTGGTTAGACAGTCACATACTTTGCAGAGGGTCCCTCCAATGTTTCAAGTACCCACCTGACACTGTGCATAGGTATTACAATATTATTGATTATATTCCCTATGCTGTAATTTACATCTCTGTGACTATTCTTTAACTACCAATTTGTAGTTCTTAATCCCTTCACCTTTTTCACCCAGCCCCCCAACCCTCTTCCCCTCTGGCAACCACGAGCCTGATCTCTGTAATCTGTTAGGTTTGGACAAAAGCTTAATGTTCCTGAGGGCTCCCTCTCCCCCCATATGAGAATGTAAACTTTAGGTAAACTCATTTCCCGAGCCACATTCTGTTCGTTATGCTTGACAACGTTCACTCCCTGCATGAGAAGGTATCTCAAGTAACAATCTGTTCCTTACATTCAACAGCTCTCTACTCCTGCTCAGAAAAAGCTGTGCTCGTGCCAAAAACTTCCCTCCCTACACACTATAAAAAGACTTGCTCCCCAACCACTCACGCTGATGCCACTTGGCGCTCAGCCCATCCGTATTCAGATGCTTTAACCATCTGTATTCAGATGTCCTAATAAAATTGCCTTTACCTTCTCATCTGGCCTCATGTGTTCCTCCTCAACAAGCCTAAATACTATGAGTCTGTTTCATTTTTGTTTGTTCATTTATTTTGCTCTTTAGATTCCCCATATAAATGAAATCATATGGTATTTGTCTTTCTCTGACTTATTTCACTTAGCACAATACCTTCTATGCTGTCAAAAAGAGTAAAATTTCATTCTCTTTTAGAGTTGTAACTCAGCAACTTTGAAAATTCAGTTGAGATCTCAGTTGGATGCAAACAATGAAGGCTATTATATATTGTCCTATTTCTTCCCTCCAGTGAACACCAAGACCTGTGTGCCCTATGCAGGTTTTAGGTAGGCATTTCACAGACTCCCAGACATTCAGGGTTGGAAGGCCCTCTATTCTTACCCTCTAAGACTATGGCTAACCATCCAACCCACAGTTAGTTAAACACCATCTCCAGAAATGAGAAGCTCATTACTGTGGATGCAGACCTCTAATCAACAGATTTTCTTCTTTTGTCAAGCCAAAATCTGTGTCACTATTGTATCCACCTATTTCTGGCCCTCTGGAACCACATGGAAAAATCTCATTCTTAAAATGTGTGACACACTCACCTATTGATTATATTACAATTATTTTCCTACAATTTTCTTGTAGGAAAAAAAAATTAAAAGCCCAGCTATATATCTCAACAGCTTCTTAGCTCACTTTAAACCCCTGCCCCTTTATCTAGCTTTATTCCTAACTGGGAAATCCTTCCGAACAGTTTCCTGCTTTAGCCCTTGGGCTTTCCTCCCACTGTCTCCCTAATCTGCTACTCTGCTTTCCTAGTTCAGCTTAGCCCAGACCTCTCTAACCATGGGCAAAATAGATAGATAACTGGGAAATAGGTCAAAAGAAAGCCCCTTGTAGAGATAACCTGTCAGTAAAAGTCTCACACACCTGGAATCTTCTGTAAGACATTTTTCTTTTTACTGTGTAGAGTGAGGGCTAATTTTCCTAAACATGCTGTAAAATGTTTACAGTTTTATTTAACTAATTAAAAAAAAAAAAATCAGGACCAGTCAATCAATCTCCAGAGTAACTGATGTTTACACTTTCCTTCCCATCTATTTAAAAATTCTTCATCAGGCAGTTAAAATAATGAGAAAAGATTTTTCAATCTAACCACTTCATCATAACCTAGCAATTTCACTCTTACTGCTATTTACTTAGCTCACAGGTTTAGCTTTTCTTTTTCAAAGCACATTAAACGTTTAAAGGTTTTTTTCCCCCTAGGGATATTCAAGATCCATAATTAACCCCATCACAGTCATATTAAAGTATAGTGGAAGTAAATCTGGATGTGCAGAAACCTACAGAGCGTCAGGGGAGGACAATGACTGCTCACTCAACAACCGAGCTATAGCCACGTTGAGAATGGGTTTTCTCCTTTAATAGAAATGTATCACACAAATAAAATCCATCTACACACATGGTATAAGTCAGCTATTTTTGCCTCTATCTACCTAGGCAAGAAAAAGCTACTGGGCAGACTTCAAAAGCCAGAAACCCATCAGGTAAATCTTTGGGATGAGAGAGATAAGGAGCCGGCTTAAAGGCCATGTGTCATAGGGGACAGAAAAGCACAGGGGGTTACAGGAGACAGTAGCATAAGAGGAAACTGAGAAGGGAAGACAAAAAGCAAAAGCCACTGTCATAAGAATGGGACACAGATTTTCATGTTCGATATAATATTTAACATGTCCACATTTCAGCGCAGTTGACTTGTGGTAAAACTTGGTTTTGGATGAGGTTTATCTTTGTTAAGGAGCCATCTGTGTGTGATTCCCTCCTCCACCCTGATCTCTTAAAATCTCTCACAGGAAAGGATTAGGTATCACCCATGACTCGTAGGAATTAAGTCAAGGTGTTACTCTTCCCATGGGCTCTTTATTTCTTGAAACTTTCACTCCAACTGCTTTGGAAGGAGGGAGTTTATCCACTGTAAAGGAATTTTTTTCATCAGTGGTGAAATAGTTAAAGGGATGGGCAGCCGGCCTCTCCTGGAACGTCTAAAATCCTCCAAGGCGGGTTGCTACTTATGTACAGATTAAATCCTAGATTCACTTCCTAAACCTTAAAGTTACTATCAAAATATCTACTTGCTGAAAGGCAGTTTTAAAACTCTATGGCAGCCCGGCTGGGTGTGGCTCGGCTGTTGAGCATTGACCTAGGATCCAGGAGATGGAGATTTGATTCTGGGTCAGGGCACATGCCTGGGTTGCGGGTTCGATCCCCAGTCGGGGGCGAGTAAGAGGCAGCCGATCAATGACTCATCATTGATGTTTCTATCTCTCTCTCTCCTTCTCCCTTCCTCTCTCTGAAATCAATAAAAACATATTTTAAAAAACCAAAACCTTGCGAGCATTAAATGAGATAACCCATGTCACACACTGTGCCCAGTGACTGACAAACCTATTGTAAATCCACATTAGCTACTATTTATGATTAACAGTATTGGGGGAGGGGAGTAATATAAATGACCATCTTGTTGGGTATATTTATTAACCCTGGATTTTCGCCCACAAAACCAGTTCGAACGGCCTGATGTTTAGGCCCAGCACCGCCCCAACTTAGGGCAGGAAGGGCGCTTGAGGAGAGCAAGGGGGCAGCCGGGAAGGGCCAGTACCTGCCAGATCTTATTGTCATCCAGCGCCAGGATCTCCAGGTTCCTCAGAGAGCACACCTGCGGCGGGAAGCTCTCCAGGTGGTTCTGGCTGAGGTCCAGGAAGCGCAGGTTGCCCAGGCGGCGGAAGGAGCGGCGCAGCGCGCGCAGGCCGGTGGCGCGCACGTAGAGCAGGTGCAGCGCGGTCCAGCGGCAGACGAGGCGCGGCACCTTCTCCAGCGGGTTCCCGTTCAGCCCCAGCTCCGTCATGTCCAGGAGCCCCTCCAGGGTGTGCGGGATGAAGTGCAGGCGGTTGTAGGACAGATCCAGCACCGACAGTTTGCTGCACTGGCACAGGGCCTCGGGCAGCGCGTGCAGGCTGTTGTGAGCCACGTAGAGCTTCTGCAGCCTGGTCAGGTTCCCGATCTCCTCGGGGATGGCCGTGAGCTTGTTCTCGTCGAGGTCGATGATCTCCAGGTGGTAGAGCACGCAGAGCTCGGGCGGGAAAACTTCAAAATGGTTTTGCTTCAGGTAGATCTCCCTCAGTTTGGTCTGGTTCACGATTTCCATGGGCAGGGCGCTCAGGTGGTTTCCCGACAGCCCGAGCAGCTCCAGGTGGTGAAGGAGTTTGCAGATTTCGATGGCCACCTCGGCCAGCTCGGTGCGGTAGAGGCGCAGCTGGCGCAGCGAGCGGATGCTGCTGACCACCTGCAGCGAGGCGGGCTGCAGCGGGTTGTCGCTCAGGTCCAGCCCCTCCAGGCGGCTCAGCTTCCCCAGCTCGGGGCACAGCTCGCTCAGCCTGTTCTGGTTCAGGTAGAGGACCTTGACATTCTTCAAGTGCTGGATAGCCTTGGGGATTTCTTCAATCTGGTTGTTTTCCAGGTGCACTTCTTCTAATTCTTTTAATTCTAAGATCTCCTGTGGAATAGTGTCCAAGTTCTGATTAGAAGCATCAATAAAAAATGTTCTATCAGATTTGCTGTGGATCATATTTCTGAGGTCTTTTCAGATGAATCTTCCACTGATTTTATGATGTCGTTTGATGTTATTTTCATGGAAAATTCAAATATTCAAAATATGAACTATTGTGAAAAGAAAGAAAAAAAAAATCAGAGTTTACCTGCCACCAGACTTGTATCCTTAAGAGAGATAAAATTTAAATTTGGTTGATTAAATGTAGTGCCTCGACGTTATGACACAATATAAAATATAGGTTTTTGTGCTTCGTGTTGGGAGGAGAAGCAGAGTGTGTACTCCGCCTTCTCCTAACAGATTGACTAATCTAAAAAAAAAAAAATCGTCTAATTTCAGTTTTTAAAAATGTCTACCTTGATTCTATTTCCAGGTAGGATGTAGAAAGTTGCAAAAGATCATTGGTCTTATCGTAAACACTGAGAAAACACTAGAAAAAAAATATTTTAAAATATTGTATTTTTCCTTAAAACCACTAGCAAGTCGTGGATACAAAGGTCAAGAGGATTAAATCTGAGAGATGAACTAATCCCTCCTCAATAAGTAGAGACCAGTGGGCACTTTTATGCCTGGTGGCATTTTTCAAGTTTGGTGACTGGCAGGTACAGAAACAAGCCTCCCATAGCTATAAGCAAAGGACCTTCTGGGACAAGGGACACCAGCCAAACTTTTAACAGCCATGTGCGAGCTGGCCTGGTGGACTAGAACCTGGAGGAGCCCCAAATGCAGAGTCAGTTCTCCCCCATCAGACTGGGGCACCTCAGTGGCTTTAGAGAAGGTTGCAGGCTGGACTAAGAAGCAGAGAGAGATCCTGTCCCCTCATGGTCTTAGATCCCTAGGCCTGGCTGGGGGGAGGGGCTTATATCCCTAAGCAGTACATTTGAAATTGTGATGGATCGAAATGAACTAAAGCTGCAACCCAGAAAGAAACTATATGGAGAGATAAATCATGTCCGTGGATTAGAACACTCAATAATGCTGGAGAGATGCCAATACGCTCCAGATTGCTCTATTGTTTCATTGTAATCCCAATCAAAATCTCAGCAAGCTTTTTTCTTTCTTTTTTGGTAGAAGCTAACAAGCTTATTCTAAAATTTATATTAAAATGCCAAAGACCTGGAATTGCAAAAGACAATCTTGAATAATAAGAACAAAATTGGCAGACTTACACTACTAGATTTATAAATCCTATAAATCTAAGATGTTAATATTGTATTACAGAAGACTAAGTCCTTGATCATGAACACACACACACTCAGAGCCCAAGGGAGAAGGCAGAGAAGACACATGATGGTGGCCAGATGGTGGCCAGGTTAACTGTAGTGTCTCTGACTTGCCTTGCCAGGGCAGGGGGGGCGGGGTACTGAGCCTCAGTCCCTAGATGGAGGGGGGATGTGTCCAGCCCCACACTAAATACTACTGCTGCATGCAATTTCATGGTATGTGGTTCAGATCCTTATTACTATATACCTACCCTCAAAAAGAGCTCTGGGATGGTGTTTCTGTTATTTAAAGAAAGAAAAAGATATGTCATTGATTAAATTATATCTAAAACTAGCTGTCTCCAGCATTTTTTGTTATTTGATCACCAGACAGATTAATACTGTTCAATCCTATAGGATAAAATCTCCAGTTACCTCAATTCAAACTACTGAAATGCTAAAGGCTCCTAGATAATCCACAGTATTCAGACTGAGGCAATAACATAAATAAAAATAAAGAACACCCAGTGTAACACATAGAAATTCAATTTCTTTGACATGACCTCTTTTTCTCCTTTCTGTCTGTCCACTCCCTTTCTTAATCATTAAGCCCTTAGGACATCAGAGTTTGGTCAGCATCAAACTGTCTTAAGAACTAAGCCTCAGGTCTGTTGACCACAGAATCAGAGTTTCTGGTCAAGCTAAAGATAACATCTTGACAACTGTGCTTCATCCCCAGGCCCATGAAAGCAGAGCAACCCTAGGGACCACAACCTCATGAAATCAGATATAACAATCCCATGGCTGACATCAGGGCCTGATATAATGATCATATACTCCCTACCCTGTCCCGAAACAATCAGCAGAGCCCAGGCTCTGGCTCCTTTAACTACCATGATTAATGAATTATTTTCTCCCTATATAACCCATCCCCCGAAAGCCATCTGGGAGCTAGGTCTTTGAGCACTAGTTTACCTGTGGCTCCAGGCTTGGCACCATTTCCTAAACTAATAAACCCTTACATTCTTAGCCGCAAACTCCTATTTGCATTTTACTGGGTCTTGACGTGCACTGGCAAATGGGCCCCTTTAGTCCAGTAACACCAGGACACTTACGTGCTGTAGGCTTTACTTAAATTAACCTATTCAATCCTCACCAGAACCCTAGGAAGGAGGCACTATTATGATTCCTGTTTTACAGATAAACTAAATAACTAAAAGGGCTCTCCTCAGGACATAGTAGGACATGGGAGCAGAAGCAGGGAATTTGACTCAACCTCACACAGGTTTTTAGCATCACTTGTTCACAAGAAGCCTGTTTTTTATTAGAATAATTCACATTGGGTGTGAGGTTTCAGGCTTGATTTTTTCTTTCTCAGCCTTCCAACAGTCATCTGGGGAAAATTTTTGTGGACTAGTCATCCTGATTAGGGTTAACACAGTGTGTCTGGGCTTCCAGACACATAAAAGAACTTATTTCTCCTAACATTCATCTTGCTCCATGATGAAACCTGACTAGAATGTCTGAATGTGTGTGTATATATATATATTATCTCATCTTAATCAGATATCCCATATGTGTCTGGAACCAATTTGATGGCCTGAAAGCTATATATATCATATATCATTAGTGGACTTAATAAAAGGAGTTTGTGGGGAACTTTGTAAAATATTGTCTAACCACTATGCTGTACACCTAAAACTATACAAAATAATATTGAAAATAAATAAATAAATGTTGTAAAGCCAGGATTTGCAATAGCTTTGCCAGTAATTCAGCCACAGTAAATAAGAATGGGGAAGATTGATTCCTTATTGGCTATTTTTCCCCCCTAGAAATTGGTACGTGAAAATGGTCACATTAACTTATTACAATCCAATATTACTGTGGTGTTTCTAAGTGGAATAACTTGTTGCATCATTATTTTAAAGAGCTAGGGTTGGACAGTTTAATAATTAGCCCTTCTTTATGTAACTTCAATGCCCAAGAAAACCATTTAGGGAAATTATCAACCCTCTCAAATGTACATCCTGTTGATACTTATGTTTCCACATCTAATTACACACATACTGGATAGATAAGATTAGGGTCCTGAGGTTAATATGGTGTGACTCTCTCTGATTACATTTCTAGTTAAAATTATTTCAAGATTTTGCTTAAAACTTCACCTGGGAGCTCTTCCCTCTAATACAGACAAGCTAAAAGTAGCCTTAATTGACCTAGGACTAGAAAATCATGTAATGGTAACACTACCCTTTGCTTTGATAAAAATTTCTTGGAAGCTATAAAATCCCTTGAAAAAATTTTGTCTCCTTTCAACTAATACTAAACTGAAGTTCCATATAAACTTCAGACATCAGTGAAAAACTTTTTATAAGCACACAACTTGAAGGTGTGCTTCCATCCCCACTGTCGCCAAATTTATTGACCTGAAATAGCTTCTCAGGACTTGTTTCCTTTAAATAGACTCAAAAGTTGCATCTTATCCATTTTTTTAAAAAATGTTTCACTCTCAGTCCCTCACACCTATCATCAAACTATAGATCTAGTGACTCATTGACAAGGCGTTTTTCCCCCTTCTGTTTTGAAAACTTGTTTTTTCGAAATGTTACTTGTATAATGAGCAGGGAAGTTTTGGACACTACTTCACTATTAAATAATCACTGACATTTTCTCATCTCATCAGATAATAAGAATGTAAACTTCTTATGCAATGCACTCTTTTATCCATGAGCCAAAATCATTTAAAAATAACAAAACACTCATTTTTCCATGTGCATATTCAGTACCTAAACATTCATACATGAACACCAGAAGTCAGCATTTGAGATACTTGTCAGAAAATCCAACCAGGAGTTTATTCTGTTCCAATGTTTGCTAGCACCTCAGTTAAGCCATCTGACAGCTGTGAAAAATAGCCAATGGATATGTTAAATATTCCCCCAGATCATTTGAGTTCTGTCTCCATATTATCAGGAAACAACTTACCTAGACCCTATTATCATAATTAAACACCATGCTGTTGGCTTTCTAAATAGAGTTACAATAAAACCAATTGTTTCAAACCAATTGTTTGAAAAATATTTCTGGATCTTCTACAAAACTATAGTCAAAGACATGTCTATTAACTTACTTACATAAAGCTATACCTACTAAACTTTCCTACTATAGCATGCCAGAAAAAATGTAAATGCTGCCTTTTATTGATGCAAGGGGATTACATACCCTCATATATTCTCTTTGGTTCTGACTTCTAGAAAGCTCAGATTCAAGTTAGACCTTTACTCTGGGTTTTTTACACACAAGCACCCAGTGAATCCATTCAAGTTTCCTTCAAGCCAGCTCAGCAACATCTCTCTCCCCCACCTCCCCTACCCTCAGTGATTCTCAAAGGGAGGGTTTGTTGCTGTCCCCTCTCCCCCCACCACATCCCTCCTCCATCTGGAAATCATTGGGGGTAATGAGAAATGTACTGATAGAAATGAGTTGTACATATGGTCAGCGTCTTTTTGACCATCTGTTTAATATGCTTTAAACATTGCAGGCTGTATTTTTGTGTAAATACCGTTTTTGTTTTGCTAAGGCAGCTAGGGAGAATAGTGCGGTAGGTGCTGTTGGTCTGGTTAAAGCAGTTCTTTTCTGCTTATTCTGTTCTCATCCTGTTTCTTAGTCACTCTCTAAAACAAAAGTCTGATTCTGCACTTCTTGTTCCCTTGCAAGACTATGTCTCTGTCCCCCTGGAGCAGCAAGTAATTAATACTCAACCTCTCTTTCCTTTATCTTCTTAATTCAAAACACTGTAAGGGAGGCGTAGGGAAGGGCAGATGCTGGACTGTACCTGCACTCACACCTTAGTTCTTCAAGCCACCTCTCCACTTCGTTGGGAGCACGTAGGGTAAATGAACACATAGTTGTCTGTTCTCTGTCATCACCATGTTTCATCTGAAATATTTCAAGTGATGTTTAAAACCTGTGGGCCACATAGGGTTTTAGGAGACTCCTGCCTTGCCCAGCACAACAATTTCTTGGCAGTGGAGCACCGGTCTGGACTTGCCTAGTGGGGCAGCATGAGGCAGAGAGGATTCAGGCATTTTGTTTTTCACCTTTGAACTGTGTTCATAAACAGCATCCTTGTACTCAGAGGGTCTCTTTCTGGTTCCAGAGTCCTCTACAGGGCCCTGGACTTCCTTCTCTTGGGGCCATAGCACCTCCAAACAGAAGGCCTCCCCTTCCGTCCTCCCTTTTCTCCCTCCCATGCCCAAGTGCTAAATCCCGATCATGCTACCCTGTAACTATCTCTGGGTTTTCCCCCTCATTCCCCCAAGTCCAGTCTTAGCTGAGGCCTTACGATCTCTCCTGGGCTGCTGCAGCTGCTTCAGACCTCACCTCCCCGACGCTGTGTCAGATCCACTCCCCGCCAGCTGTGCAGCTCCGAGGGCTCCCAGCGCCACGCTCCATCCCAGTGCTGCTCAGGGGGTGCGCGGGGCGCCACGGGGATCCGGTTCTGCCTGTCCCCTCACTCTCTGTATTCATCTGCGCCACCCCAAGTACCTGCACATCTCCAGCACACACCAAGCAGTTCCCTCCTCTGGCAGGTGCACTCCGCCAGTCAGGATGTCACCTCCTCCAGGAAGCCCTTCCTGATGCTCCCCCAGCTCTCACAGGCTGACCTGCAGCGCCCCTGGCGCTCCCGCAGCCCCGCGCCCTAGCCGGGTTAGTGCTACAGTCCCCTGCACTTGGCCTCCACAGGTGTGTGCACACTCCGGGGAGGGGACTGTGTCATAATCATCTTTGTAGTCCCCGCCCAGCCCAACGGCAGTGCCCCTTACACCTGGAAAACATCTCCCTGCGGAGTGGCCTGGAGCCCACCCACGGCGTGTGTAACCCCGGGGGGGAGAGGGGCGTGATCGGGACCCAGACACGGCGACCATGGAGCCTCGGCAGCGTGGGCGGTCACAGCGCGCCCAGCCAGGCCCCACGGCCCGCGTGCGTAACCGCAGGGGGTCCCACCCAGCCGGCTGCGGCGCTCCGGGGTCTGGCGGTCTCTCTAAGAACGCCCCGCCCCCGTCCCCCCGGTAGCACGCCGGGGCAGCACGCATGCGCGCGGTCGTCATGACAACGACGCCGCTGCAGCCCGCGGGGTCTGAGGAGCATGTGGCCCAGCTCCGGGAAGGCCTCCGGCGCGGAGACCGGCTCCCCCGCTCCGGCCGCCACTCCGAGCCCTAGTCCTACTCCGGCCTGGGCCCAGGCCGTCGGCAGCGGTAAGAAACAGGGTGTCCTTCGTCGCCCGAAACGCTCAAGGGGCGTGGGAGCCCGAGCTGCGGGGT